GTGATTGGTCCAGGCATTTCTAAGATATAGGTCCGGACGCACGCACAGACGCACGCACGGAGGTGAAAACATAAGTCCCCGTTTTCGGACTGTGTCCGAACGGGGACTAATTACAAATTCCAGAGTTACAAACCTGACAAAGTTAGAACTCAAAATATAAGTTTTACCTGTGCATCACGTAAGATCCCCGGCAGTCCTGTGTCTTCTATGTAACCTTGACCACCAAAACATTCCAATCCTTCCGATGTTACTGACATTGCCTACGTGTTAATAAAGTGACTAATAACGTTAGAAAGCTCCTCTGGAAAAGTATACACTGTAACTTTGTTATAATGGAGACGTTTATAATGAATTTCCTGATATAATGAACACATTGCATGTCTCTCACTAATGTGATTCATTATAGTGAACACTTCACTATAACAAACTAATTTTAAGTCCCTCAAAAGATTTTGTTATAACGAGGTTACCGGTACATTGTTTTTTGGAACTACTACTAAAATTAGGCAGAGGGTTCTCTGAACCCACCTATACACATAGTTCATACCCAACCATAGACTCCAAAATGACTATTTTGAACTGTAGGCATTAATCAGCGATTCTGCCAATGACGGAGAGATAGAATCTTGGTCAGGGGAAGCCCTATGAACCCAAGATTCTTTTCCCTTTCCACAAACCACGTGACCGAGGCCATGTGGCGTCTCCATTATGGCTGGATAATCACTCTGGTTCCTTTCTCTCCGCATCGAGGACTTAGACCAACGCTACGGAAAGAGTGGAGTGGTTGGGGAGTTGGTTGGGGAGGACCCGGAGTCTATGGTCGATATGAACTATGTGAATAGGCGGGTTCGGAGAACCCTCTGCCTAAATTCACTACGTTCAATTACCCACCATAGACTCCGGTCAGTCAAAATGACTATTTTGACAGATGCCAGATGCCAATAGATGGAGGGCTTTCCGAGCAAACAGAAAAATGATGAAGTTCTTTCCCAGTCCGGGATGATACACTCTACAACAATCCACTCACCCTTAGTTAAGACCAAATAGAGGGTGGTGTCTTACCTTGCCTGTGCTGTCCCTGGAGCAAGAAGCCAAATGGCTGCTGCTGTGACAGGGTTTGGTGTGTCATAGAAAGCTAGCACCAAACCCGGTTCTGCGGGTTGTATGCTTTGGAAGTAAAGACCGAAACAGTTCTGCATGATGGCATAGGCCGCAAAGCAGGACCCGGGAGCTTCCAGGGAGTGCTGATGGTAGAGAAATCTGTTCGCAAAAATGCCGAGACTGACTTATCGCCTATGCGCAGGAACCCTTGTGGCCTTTCGGGCTGGGTCAGCAAACCAAGTCTGACCCGCTACGACGGGACCCAACTAAATGAATATGGTGTCTCTTAGGTAGTAGTTGATAAAGACTTCTGCGTTCTCCAGAGGCCAGCCCTCAGTGTGTGCTTGAGGGGGGCGCCTGACGCTAGCACTAGCGAGTTAGCAATCGCACAGACCTCATGCGTTCATACTTGGTGTCTCTGCACACTCTGTGCCGAAGAAGTTAAAGTATTATAAGACCTCTAATACAGTTGCAGTAATCCACCTGGCGATGGAAATTGGGGAGACCGGCCTATCCTGCCTGCCTGGGCCGTAACACAAAAACATGTGCTTGGCACCCCGTCTTGAATCCTAGGTTTTTGTAGCAACTCAGTGCTCGAACCGGGCAGAGAAGCAAAATTTGACAGCTGGGAGATGACAATCGGCTGAGGATCGTGTCCTGGGATTTGGTTCTTAGCGAGACCTGGTCACTCGCCGAACATATGCCTGTCCCCCCGGTCGCAGAGGTAAGCGTCAAACATGCTACCCCCGCTGCCAGGGTGGATGACAGCCTGGTCTCTTCCTCCCTGAGGGCACGCCGCTAATCTTCCCTCCCGTGGAAGGGTATGAGCGCTTGCCTCCTGGCTGACTCTGGCGAGCGGGAGACGCCCTAGGGTGTTGTGTTTTCTGTGCTTGGGGTGCCCTCCGCTTACCCCTGACTGGGCCAACTGACTGATTTGATCTGAACCCTCTGGTTTATTGTATTTCGAAGCTCCGACACTGTACCCGCCATTCCGCGAACAAAGAGGGTGGAAGATATCCAGTCTGCGTACCCCCTGACTCAGTTTGCCGTCGAAAACACATGCGTCTAAGGCCGCTCATTGCACAGTAGTGGCCCCGGCCAAGAGAGCCAGGTGACACTAGGAGATGTGGCCCACCAGTAAATGTGTCGCCCGGTCTAGGAGGTTGATGCTGTCTCTGAGGTCTCAGAGTACTGGGCGCGCACAATAATGCGCTCAAGCAACTCTGCCTTCAGGGCGTGATGGATCGTCTCAGATTGAGCTGATGAGAATGCCCATGGAACACGGCCATCCCACTTTACCCGGTTTGCCCAATGGAAATTCGTGGTACCAGGGTCTGGGGAAGGAGCCTTGAGATCCGGTTGGGGGTGCTTTGGTCTCATCCCACACTTCGGGGTCTGATCCCAAAACCACACTGACCGGGTAGCTTTTGGTCCAGTGGAAAGTGTTGCATTTTACCCCACCTGGGGCCTTAAGCGTTACCTCCTCCATGGCTGACCAACGTTCACCCATCAACACCATTTGCGCGTACTGCGCCGCACTCGGACGGACAGGGAGAGACGTGCCGACGGGGTTGCTTTGAATCCCGACGCCCGTGATCCCATAAGCATTGAAGCAACCGTAAGTGGTCGCCTTAGGATCAAGAATGGGGGTATTTACATCGTATCACTAGGATCAATGATACGTTACAGATGGAAGACTCTGAGGGACTGTACCGGCTGTATCTGACGCGAGCGAACTGTCCCCTTTCATATGTTGCATATGTAGATGATGCGCATTGTGCAGTAGGTTAATACATATATGTAGCATATTTTCAAATTTTGTGTTCCTAATTATTAATTATTTTGATGAAACAACATTGGTAAATAGTGCAACGTGTACCCTGACCCAAAAGCCCTGACCTGAAATCGGAGGCTTGGCTACCAGCATCGCATTCAGTGCCCGAGGCCCCAGAGGAGACCTGGTGCCACTAGCCTGAGCCTCGGCCTCACTCGCAGCTGGGAATGAGGGGTTCCCCGGAAGAGACGTGTTTGAATGCAAACGATGCTTTCGTGTCTCTTCCTGCTTGCCCACTGGCGGGCCGCAGTGGAGACAGCTCGCTTCGACTGCGTCTAATCTACCCAGCCTGCCAGGGACGCAATTTGCCCCGACAGTCCTTCGACCAAAGCCCTCAACTCGGAGGCAAACCCATGCCATGCAAGGAAGGATCCACAAAGGGACCCGCAACGGGCCCCAAAGGAGGAAAGACCTCCAGGAGCACAGCCTTGTCGTAGCCGGTGTGTGGATGCCTTCTGATCAGCGGGGGGAGACCGGAAAAAAAATATCGGTACCTCCACATCGGGCCTCCTACTCGACGTCTTGGTACACGAGGTACCGGTAGCCAAGCATGAGGACTTTCCACTCATGCCAAACACGCAACTCACAAGCGATTTTTACTGGACGCACCACCTTGCTGTGAAAATACGAGCGATATGGTCAGTCTCAGCGATTTTGATGGCTCTGAAAAAATATCTCAGGCCTCAGAACTCCAGGGAAAAAAACATGCCTTCAAGGCAAAAACCCCAAACCCCACACACAGCCACGGCAGAAAGCATATCGGATGCGGGTTCTATGCTGGTAAATTCTGAATATAACTACTGCACAGTCAACTCGAAAAACGAGGAGACAAAAAAAACATAGTTGAACTCTGGTGACCTTGCCCTTTGTTATATAATATAATTCCCTTTATCATAGTTTGTTTCAATATAAATATGCATTGTCATAATTAATTTTGAATACAAACAAGTTTTGGGGTTGAACCAACAGTGGGGAATCAGTCTACCGAATGTCCTTTAAAGATGTAAACATCTTAC